GCTTTATTTCCCTTTGCTTTGTTGTTAATCACTCATCCTTCAAACCTTCTTGGCTACCTACTTTGTATGAGGCCTTAAGCAGGGTGCCAGAAACGCTGGGATGAATCAGACCTACAACTTCGCTGTCCTGATTGAATTATCACACTGTAGGCCATAAATATTTACAAATATCATTTCATCTAATCTGTTTTTGCTTTGGTTTTTTTTTAAAGAAAAGAGTCACTGCCAGGTGCAAGAATGTGATCTGACAAATCCCAGAGGGTTTACAATGTCAGAACTAAGTGACGTGTGGTTTTCAAAGAAGAGGCCCCTCATCCAGCCAGGGCTATTCAGGAAAAACATAGAGTACTGTACCTTGAGAAATTAACAATGAGAAAATGTAGGCTTGTTACAAGAGGTATAAATATAAAAAAGACAACTTTGCCCTTGAAGTGCTCCTATCTTAGAGTGGGGACAAGAAAATAGGCAACTCAACTCCGTATGCCAGACTTTGTCGACTCCCCAAGGAAGGCCTTACCCCCTCTGAGGAGTGGATGGGAGGTGGGGAGGGGAGAGGTGGGGGTGGGAGAAGGGGAGGGAGGGGGAACTGGGGTTGGAATGTAAAATAAAAAAGTTAATAAAAAAGATGATTGTTCAAAAAAGAAAAGAAAAGAGGCAACAGCAGCAGTTAGGGTGGGAAAGACAGAAGACACACTGGAGGACACGCGTCACCTGGGGTACAGAAAGCTCCCTCCAGGAAATGTGGTGCATTCTGGCTGAACAACAAGTTAGAGCTACCTGGGGTACGTCTGCGAGAGGGAAAAAAGGATCAGTGTGTGCCAAGGCCAGTGTTGGGGAGAATGAGCGAGATACGCTTCAGGAGTTCTGTGGTTCATTATGTCCTGTCCCAGGGCCAGATGAAAAGAAGTAAAATTAGATGAATGGACAAACCCAGACCCCACTAAGAAGTATAAAGACCACTCAGTGGGTCATAGGAATGGCCTTGAAGGATGTGTCAGGATATTTCTTTTTTTTTAAAGATTTATTTATTTATTTATTATGAATACAACATCCTGCCTCCATGTATGTCTGCGCATACCAGAAGAGGGTACCAGATCTCATTACAGACGGTTGTGAGCCACCATGTGGTTGCTGGGAATTGAACTCAGGACCTCTGAAAGAGCAGTCAGTGCTCCTAACCTCTAAGCCATCACTCCAGCCCAGGATATTTCTTTTATGGAGACTACACAGATACCTAGTAGAGATGATGGCACCCCAACTGAAGAGAACAGGAGCTAAGTGTGCAACTCCACCCCCCTCAGAATCGTACCATATGTAGATCAGGTGAGCAGCCTGTTCTTGTCAATGACAGGCAGACCTATACCCCCTTTCTCCTGCCCTGCCACAAACCTCATTTCAGCAAGCTCTGCACTCCAAAATGTCACAGAACTCATAACTTTCTCGAAGCTGCCATAAAACTATGGTGAGTGCTTCTGCGGGACCAAAAGTCTCAGGTTTGACAGCTGACACCTGGGAAGTAGATAGAAAACCAAGATCTGGAGAAGCAGAGGCAAGAGAAGGCCAGTTCACCCACTTACGACATTGTGCTACATAAATCTGCGCGACTGAAAAGTATAAAAAGGATGTTTTGGACACCATCTCAGAGACAGAGCCCCATGCATGACTCTTCACATTCAAAAATCTTAAGAATGCTGCAGATTTTAGTTTCCTGGTATGAAGCATAAGGAAAAGATTTGCTGAACACCTATTTTGTAATATGCTACAACATAAAACCACACTCAGCACTAGGGAGGCAGAGGCAGGTGGATCTCTATGAGTTCGAGGCTGGGCTGGTCCGACAGCCTCCAAAAGAATATAGAGAAACCCTGTCTCGTAAAACCAAAAAAAAGGAAAAAAAATACACTCAGAACCCTGTCCCTGTTTTTCAAATGTGGCTAAAAGCAAATATCTCTAAACTGAGACTTAAGCCCATGGCTGTTTGGCTATATGTCCATGAAGTATTGTGTGTTCTTTGGAACAACACTATGCCAAGTTCATCAAGGATTTATTTTGGAGAGACTCCCTGGCAATTAAGAACATCTTATATTAGTTATCTGATGCCAATTAACAAATAATCCCCAAATTCATAAACTTAATACCAGACATTTTCTTAACATTTCCACCAGTCAAGAATCAGTGTAGCTTAGTTTGTGCCTCTGGCTTGGGTATCTTTGAGGTTGTAGTCAAGACACTGAAAGAACTGCAGCCTGCTGGGAAGGCTCCCACGGAGGCAGGCTGAGCTCAGTCCCTCACCAGGTTTCCTCACAGCACCACACTTAGCTTCCTTCAGGGAGCAAGGCCAAAAGAGCAAGAGAGACAATGAGTGCCCGGCACAGCTGATTTTGTCATTAACCAATCCCAGAAGGGACATCCTTTCTGTCCTACTGTGTTCTGTGAAAAGCAAGAGGGCAAGTTGAGCCTATACTTCAGGGGAGGGGGAGTGAGATGTGGCTACCCAGGGCCAGGGATTACAAGAGGGCAGTTTATAGGCTGCAGACTTCAGTTTAAAGAGCGTTTGATCAGGTTGTCCAGGCTACTTCCCAAAATGGTGAATTGTTTCCTCTTCCTGTGTGGCTGTTTCCTCTGAATAGAAACGTTCTCTCCAGGAGGTAGGAGAGAGAGGTTCAATAAGACTCCAGAAACTCATAAAACTTAGAAGGCTCAGAAAGCTCATGAAAGTTACAAGATTCACGAGGCCCCTTCTCCAGCTTGTAAAAGCTGGGGCACAGGAACTCTTCTGACAGCAAGCTGTGCAGGGAGCCCCAGTGATACAGTTTCCTGAGTTGTTGTCCATTCGTGAGTGAGCTTTTTAGTGATAGCGTTGGCCTTCCATGCTCCTCTTAGTAGCCTGAATAAATTTACTGGTTCCCCAAACTAGACTTGGATAGAATTATTTCTCTGGTCTGTCATGGATACCCTATCTGGAATGAGTAGACATTTGTTCACATTTCAAGACTGGAGACAAACCACACCCATGCTACTCAAGGGTGGAGGATTTGGGGAACTTCAGTGACACCTGGGGATGCTGTTGTGCCCATTTCTTGATGCCCAAGGCACAGTCACATTTGTAAATGCTTGTGTGGTGAGCCTACCTGGCACACGGGTGTGTGTTTGAGGGAGTAGTTTTTCAAACTGTGGCTACTGACCCCTCCCCACCCTGTTCTTAAGCTGCTGTGAAATCCTCCTTGCTGGCGGAAGAAATGAATGGGGGCCATTTCTAGATAGAGGAACCATCAGCTGGAAAGTCGTGGTTATTTTGTTGTTGTTTTCAGGTTTATTTGAAGTGCATGAGTGTTTTTCCTGCATTAATGTATGTGTGCAATGTATGTGCCTGGAGCCCGTGGAAGTCAGAAGAAGGCATCAGATCCCCTGGAACTGAAGTTCTGAATGGCTGTGAACCACAATGTGGGGCTGGGAACCAAACCCTGGTCCTCTTAAGCATCTGACTCATCTCTCCGGTCCTTGGAATGACTTGCTTAAGTTCTCCTTGCTTCTGAGTTTTCCTCAGTTCTTGTCTTATGCTGTCCAGCTCTGCTAGTACCACAGCAGCTGACAGAGCAGATGCTACAAAAACGTCCTGAGGGAGGGGATAACAAGCCAGTGTGTGCATAGGTCACGTTCCTTCAGCGGCCTTTCTGTGCAGTCACGAGGACATCCAGAGGCACACAGGTACAGAAAGACAGACCTGTGAACGGAGATGAAGCAATGTAAGCAAATTCATAATCACCATAAACACTTGCTCAGTCTTAACCATAAACGCCACTGAGCTGACTGAGCTGTCCCCATTGGTAAAGCATCTTTCATTGCTCAGACCTCTGTAACAGCTTCCAGACTGGCCTGTGCTACCCATCCATCTAATCACTCTGCTACTGAACTATTTTTCTGGACAGCAAACCTGTCCAGGTCAAAAGGCCTGCCTAACTGATCTTGGCGGAAAGCCAAGCCCTTCGCATGGTCTTCAAGACCCTAAGTACTCTCCCTGTTTCATCTAACCTCCTGTTTTGGCTCCAGTCACACCACAGGCTGTTTCAGGAACCTTCATGAGACTATGATGCCTTCCGCGTCTTGCAGCTAATTTGTGCTGCCCCTTTCACAAGGAAACATTCTCTCCAGTGTGGGAGAGAAACTCTAGGTTAACACATTTCCCTCACAGGACTGGATCGCAGGTGCTTGTCTTCTGTGTCCATGGGGGGTGGGGGGACGGACACTATCTGATCTAGAAATCTTGGCTGGAAGCCCATCAGGGAGGAGTGAGTGGGTCAGTTAGGACTGTGGGATGGACCTGATGTCAACTCTGGGATCGCAAGCAGGTTGCCCTGGCCAGGAATCTTGACTTTCCTCAAGGAAACAAACGCGAGAAGTACAGAAGGTCCCTTGCTTTGGCCACGCCCTCTTCCTTATCTCTGAGCTCGCTCAGACTAGTATAGTTAGAGAGCAGCCCACCATCAGCGCCTGTAGCCCTCTAAGCAATGATCCTTTCCTCTGAGCAGAGCGGGGGGAAGGCACCGTGGAGCAGGTGCAGCATGAAATTGCCTTTGAAAGATGAGTTGGAGTCTGGCTTCAGAAATAAAAGAGTGGGCGTATGTGCCTAAGGCAAGGGGTTATATTAAAGCATTCTCTTGCCCTGTCGCCTTGAGTACAGACACTAAAGCTATCTGGTGACGGTGGTGTCTCCTCTCTTCATCCCCCGCTCCCAGGGGCACCCACCCGGGCTCTCCAGGCACGCTTGAATGAATGGGGGAGGACCCGTGCGCATGAATGAACGCGTGTGTGAGCGAGTGTCCAGGCCAGCCAGCCGGCAGATGAGTGAATGGCGTCCGCGCCACTTCGGCCCAAGGGCGCGGGCGCGGGTTCCACTTCCCACTCCCACCAGCTGGTGGCCTCCAGAAGGTGGCAGAGCCGGCAGCGGCCCGAGCTGGGACGGCCCGGGCGCGGGATGGTGGGGGAAGGGGCGTTCCCGGCGGCCGCGCCTTCCGCGGCTATTGGATTAGTGGCCTTCAGGGATGAGCTCAGCCAGATCGGCTTTCAGCTGCAGCCTCCCGGCCGGCCGGGAAGGCGGGGAGCGGGCGGCCGTGGAGGAGGAGGGGGAGGCGGCGGCTGCAGCATCCAGAGCTGGCCCTGGCAGTCGGCGCGCCCCGCGCACAAAGGCGCCCAGCCCCTGGGGAAGGCGATGAGGGCACCGCAGCCCGGGCCCCTGCCACCGCTGCAGCCATCGCGGCGTGCGCCCGGGGCGCTGGGGAAGAAACCCGGCACTCTAGGGACAGGCGGCCGAGGTGCGGCCCGTGCGCCCTAAGCGCGGGACTCGCCGCCCTCCAGGTCAGGCGCCAAGCTTCGGGGCGGCCAGGGAGCGGGCTTCCGCGCCCCCCTGAGATCCGCGCCCCCTGAGATCGGCGCAGTCGGGACCTTCCCCACCCGGGACCGGATCTCGGAGCCCTCTTGCCGCGCCTGAGCTCCAACTTCGCCAAGAACGTCCCTAACTCCAGGGCACCCTGCAGGGAGAGAGGGCGCTGCTGCCGGGCACAAGCCGAGAGGACGCGCCGCTGGCGGAGAAGCCAGCATCCGCGGGGTCGCTCGGGCGCCCCTGAGTGGGCAGCAGCGGCAGCAGACCTCTCTCCCGGGAGTTCTGGACCTGCCAGCGCTGGGGATTCCTCCCGGGCAGGCGCTCGCCCTCTCTTTTATGGTAAGTGTTTTCCAGCTCCTGCTAAAGGGTGATTGCCGGCCGGCACCGGTCACACCCGGTGCTCTTGGGGTCCCTCTGGTCGCGGTCCGCGGGAATGTCTCTGCGAATTGTGGCAATCCAAGCTGGTTGGTTTGAGACGAGCGTTGAGGCCAGCCTCTGGTACTGCGGGGTTTGAAACCCCGCTGCTTCTCCGAGTAGTGGAGACAACACTAAAAATTGCTCTCGGAGTCACCCGGCTGTGTTTCGGTCCTATGCCCGTCACTCTCTGGGGTGACCTTGGGCCAAGCCCCACAACCTCGGTCTCCTCATCCGGAAGATGGGGGTGATAACTGTGCCCCTTTTACTAGTGTGCTGGAAGGAACTGCAGGGTGGTGCGGAGACCTGCGCCTGGCACTCAGGAAGCACTCAGTCAGACATTAGCTAGCGTTAATATTAGCCTTGTGAGCTCCAGCACATCATCCAACTTCCCGGAGCTGCAGCAGCTGCCTCATCTGTGTGACGAGGACGGTAATTTCTCGGGGTCTGCTCGTCGCTGCGAAAGTAAAGTGCCTCTCACTCACTAGGCGCTGGTGGTGATTATTATGGTTTATCTCCGATGCTGGGGCAGTGATGACTGACTGACTGCTCGGCCCGACGAGAGCGGCTCGCGGCTGGTCCTCAGGCGGGCTGGGAGACAAACTTGGAGAGAATAGGGAGCTCTGAGAGCCCTGGGCGAGGGGCTACGGGAAGCAGAGAGGAAGCCAAAGCCCCAAGTGTGGCAAATATGTCCACCCTGTTTGAGCCAGGAAAAACAAGGGACCCCGGACCTCTGTCTGAGGTCCAGGAAGTGTGGCTCCCACTGCCCGGTGGCCAAGCGCGCGGGCTGCTGAGTCAAGAAGAGAGAAGAGGGCACATTTGTGTGGTTGTCTCTAGAACTCTGGCGCTGCAATCCTGGGCTTGGATTCGAATAGTGCTTCCAGCAATAGCCCGTGGGTGTGACCTTGAGCAGGTTCTGTAAAGTCCCAGATCTGTGCCTTCTCCCCGCCCCACTCCAGAATTTGGGTGTGAACTCCTTCTCTTATCTTCTCTCATTTGCCCCCAACAGTTGTTGAGCCCATTAGATCTGGAAGAGATGAAGTTCACTCTTCCCACCCTGCCCTGTGGGAAGTGGTCTGCGCGCTCACTCACCCGAGTCTTCCGGTCTGTTTCCTCACTTTGGCACCTCTGTCTTTCAACTAAAGCCTGCAGTTTCTGTTGCTCCCGGCTGATGGAGGATCCTTGAGCCTCTTCTCAGCAGTCCCTTTCCCAAACCATTCAATATTGATTTAGGGCTGCAGATGAACCCACTTTATTGAAAACCAAAATGTCAAAAGCGTGATATAAACATACTTTACAGGAGACCGCAGTTCTTGAGATACACACCCCAGAAGATTCCATGTTCAAACTTCCATAGCAAGGGCGGTAAAAAGAATTTAAGCCTTTGCAAGCTGTAAACAAAATTAGATTCACCAGTCATGCCACCCAAATATCTCCACTTTGCATTTCTCTTTGATTTTAAAGGCTGACACGTTCAGTGACATAGAAATAATGTCTGCACGGGCGGGGGAGGGGATGGGAGGGGGGTGGGGGGTGGGGCGGGGGACAGGACAGGACACTTTCCAGAAGCAGTCAAAAGACATGACAGACTGGGAAAAGAATTGCTACTTACTGCAATGGCTTCATATCTTCCAATTTGTAACAGCTTTGGGGTGTGTGCTAGGGATGGAACCCAGGACTTGGTGCATGCTAGACCAATGCTCCATCCCTGAGCTGTAGCCTGGGCCAAAAATGTATAAAGAATCTTCAAGACAAGCAAGTGCCCCAAGGGACAAAGACTACAGACAGGCAACTCACATACACACAGAGTGAAACAGAAGTAACAAGAAAACCTGCATGCCTTGCCTCAATAAGAAAAATGTGTACGAAAGCCGTAAGATTCAGTTGTTCAGACATCAGATCAGCAAATAGTCATAACCGTTCACCAGTAGGAAGCCTTTATCCTTAAAAATGTAAACAGACCAAATTCCTCCCTAGTTAGAACTTCCTCAAGGCTGCCAGGAGTAAAGGCTGAGTTTGCCCTCTGGGCCTGGCTACCACTGGCACCACCCTGTCTTTCATCACTTGTCTCCCCCACCCCTGAGACCCTGACCTAAGATCTTGGTTTTGCTCCAACATTCCCAGGGCTTCTTCCTCTCCTGACTCCCACTCCCGCCCCACTCCTCCCCAGTTGGTCGCAGGACCAGAACCTTGTCATCCTTCGTGGAAGCCTGTCCTGGAGACTTCATTCGTGTGCCAGGATGCGGCTATGGCTAAGGCTCAGGTCCCAGGTCCTTGAGGAACAGGCCCAGTGCAACTCAGCATGCTCCAGTTTGTTAATTTTTTTCTAAGCTGTTTGGCTCATTGCCACATGTCAGTGCTCCTGAAAGGGCTCTCCTCTGTTGGCTGGATAACAAAAGATCTCCAGGAGCTCCCTAGATAGAGCAAGAAACTGGATGTGGAAAAATCAGGAGGGTAGAAGGACCTATCTCCAAGTCATCAGAAGTCTTTCCTGGTAATCATTTTTTTTTTAAAAAGGCACTTAATGTATGCACTTAACTTGTGTGAGCATGATCGTTCATACTTGGCAAAAAGATCGATAATAAAAAATTAAAAATCTAGCAGCACATTTAAATAAAACATGGTCCCTGCATAAGCTGACTAGCTTTCCTGCTGCTGCTCAGTTACAGGCGTCTGTTCTGAGGCTGCAGGAAGCAGCTGTCTGGCCCATCCTTTGGGAAAGGCCCCAAATGAGCTGTCATAAACTTTGTGGAGTGTTGATTGCATGGGATTCTTGCTTCACAGGTTGAACGTGGAACTTAATTCACATTTCAAATGTATAATTCAGTTGTGGAAAAAAATTCTTGTTGGTAAAAACACAAATCGCTCAGTCCCACAAGCATTTCTTCTTCAAGTTTTTTACTCCCACCTTACAGCCCATGCTGGACTAGAACTCACAGTGTAGCCCAGGCTGGCTCCCGACTCTCAATCCGGGTGTGGGCCATCACAGCTGACGCTGACAGGTACTTCTTAATGCAGACGGGTAGTGTGCACAGGACTGGTCGAGAAGACAGGTGGCAATTAGCTGGGCACTGGGTAGCCTTCTGGAAGTGGCACTAGACTGTTAGGATGACATCATGGGGCACAGAGATGACATGGAGGGAGGGTGCCGTGATGGGGGCACAGAGGCGGGAGAAGATGCGAGTGGGCAGCGAAGGTGAGCAAGCCCCAGAAGCTTGGGGTAGAAAGGGGTACGCTGACTCGAGAGTCTGGCATCACTACGTGGAGAAAGGCTATAAGGAGAAGTTGCCTGTGAAGCCCTTGGGTGTCAGCTCAAGGGGTGCGTGTTTGAAAGAGCAAGTGATGGGCAGCTTGCTTGGATTTAGCCTCTTGGCAGCAAGGGGGTTGGGTTAGAGTCCCAAGGCAAAAATCATAGGTCCTCCCTAGTAGACTGCCCCTGTCATTCCACTAAGACGGAAACCAAGAGGAAGTAGAAGGCATTGAGTGGGAGCAATAGACAGAGAGAAACCTGGATTATGGAGATGGAAGAGGTTGAGCTCAGCCTGGGACATGAATTCTCAGATGTGCCACGGTGTTGGGAAAGTGGCCATGCGCTCAGTGGAAAGCTTAGAATGGAAAGACGCACTGCAGAGTCGCCCAACAGAGCATCTACGATGGCCAGAGGCTAGGTGAGAGAGGGCAGGGAGGCCTATAGACGTCAGCAGGATAGAAGGGCAAACTTAAAGAAGGGATACACAGAGAGGAGTGGACAGTCTAAGATGTTGCCTCGAGGTGTTGCACGTATAGAGCAGGCAGGAAAGATGGTTTGGACATCCTACCTCTCTGAGTGCCATACGTTAGGAGGAGTGCAGAGCAGTGCCGACATCACCTTCGTGGGATACGGGGTTGTGATCCTGTGAACTGTGTTCATAGTGGTCAGCAACTCTGCCTTTCCAGAAATGAGTGAGCTTGGTCCAGTTACCTGGCCCGTAAAGACATCCCCACCTGTTAGCCACAGTCTGTGCGATAAGTGAGGGCATACTAAGAATCCTAGGGATGGGGCGTTTCTCATAGGCAGGCCCCTCCTGTCTATCTACATCGTCCTTCTCCTCCCAAGCCTGGTGTATGCAACATACACAAAAAAGATGCCCCGGCTTACCAGAGGAATCTACAAGTCCCCTAGATTAACCCTGGTGTTTGAATGACCCTGCTTTGATTTCAGGAAATCTGTTTTCAGACAAGCACTCATGTCCAGTGAGTTTACGCTCATCTTGGGAGATAGATGAGAGGTTGGACATGTACACCACTGGGTTCCTTTAATAGACATTTTCCTAGAGGGTCCCCCTGGCTGCCCCTCCTCATCCTCTTTTGCCATGCTTTGCCCCAGCTTGAATCAACCAATTCTGGGCCTCACGGAGGACAGTGTCCTACAAAACAAACCACAGGTACCAGGGCACATGGTCTCACTGGATCTGCCCTATATCTCTTTCAAATGACCTTGTAGAGCTTGCTGGCCTGGTGGCCACCACCCAGCAAGCCTCCTGCCTCCCAGCTCCTGCTCTTCCTGCTGGCTGACAGCTGAGCTTTTATCCCAGGAGCCTCTGACTCTGTGTGGGAGGAGGATTCCCATGGAAACCCCAGGAGGAGGGGAGGCTGGGGAAGCCTCATTGATTGAGCTCTAGGAAGATGGAGCCGTCAGGAGTCCAGAGTCCACCTGGACTGGACAGATGGCTGCTTTTGTGAATGCTGGGAGAGAAAGGCTGGCCCGGCCAGTTGTGGAGTGAGCTCCCCATTTGTATTATGGGAAAATCTAATGGACATCTGTGATTAAAGCCCTGGGGGTTCCTTAATTTATTCACTACTGGTAGGTTCATTCTGAGTGATCATCTTTCAATAAAATACTCATCCAATTTAGTGTTTGTAGCAAGGAAAGCTTACAAACAGTT